GACCATAAAAACTACATAATTATAATTTGCACATGACTGATTGTTCCACAAACTAAAAAAACCACGTCACTTTAATGTCACGTCAGTTGTAGACGTTTTGGCATGTGAATCGATCGGAAAGTGTTTATTGTCCCCCGCTTTCGCGAAAGCGAGGGGACATTAAATCTCATTCGTCTGTCCGTCTGTCAGTCTGTCCGTCACAAAAACTTTAACCTTGCCCATAACTTTTGATTTAGTAGAGCTATGACTTTCATACTTCACATGTGTATTCCTTGTGACAAGACCTTTCTTTGGGTACCACCAAATTTGACCTTTTGACCTTGACCTTGGAGTTTGACCCACTTTTACACAGAAATTTTAATCTTTTACTTTGGCCATAACTTTTGAATGGAAGGTACTAGGACTTTCATATTTCAAAAATGTATTGTTTGTGGCAAGACCTTTCATTGGATACCAACAACCTTGACCTTTTGACCTTGACCTTGGAGATTTACGTACTTATGAAAAAACGTTAACCTTGACCATAAGTTTTGAACAGTAAGGATTAAGGCTTTCGTACTTCACATATGTAATCCTTGTGAGAAGACCTTTTATTGGATACCAAGAACTTTTACCCTTTGACCTTGACCTTGGAGTTTTAACTACTTTTAAAAAAAAAACTTTAACTTTGGTCACAACTTTTGAACGGTAGATACTAGGACTTTTATATTTCACATATGTATTCTTTGTGACAAGTCCTTTCATTGGATATCAACAAATTTGACCTTTTGACCTTGACCTTAAAGATTTAAGTACTTATTTAAAAACTTTCTTGACCACAACTTTTGAACGGTAAGGGCTAGGGCTTTCATACTTCACATATGTAATCCTTGTGAGAAAACCTTTCATCAACAACTTTGACCCTTTGATCTTGACCTTGGAGTTGACCTACTTTTAAAAAACGTTAACTTTGGCCATAACTTTTTAACGGTCAGGATAAGGGTTTTCATCCTTCAAAAAAAACAACTTCAATGATAATTTCTATTAAATGACATATGATAGGATGTTCATATTAGACAACAGGTCATAAAAAATAACATCTCACCAACAAAGACATCGAAAGCGGGGGACCACAATTCTTTGAATTTGCTTGTTCTTCTCTGTTTCGTATTATATATTACATTACAAAGATCAACCTCTGTCTCTTTTCTTGAACGATTATTTTTATTTATAAAAAATATGTGCTGTTTTTACATCAATGTTAAATGTTCATGCTTCATTTTGGGTATATACAGGATGCCTTAATATCATGCAATGCCGATTTATCGTTGATATTGTTTTAGCGAGTTGGTCAGTCTGGAAAAGAGTTCTACACAGCGCTACACAAAATTTTAGGTATGTTCGCTGCTCCGCCTTGACGTCAAATTCCAATCTGTCTTCATCAGATTTCTTTACCGTGCCTATTTTTTTAATGATCTTCGTATTTCTGATCAAAATTCTAACAAACTTGCACAGAAATAACTCAAAATTAAATTGAGATATTATTTTGCCCTAATTATTGGTTCACCGGGAGTTCCAACGTTAGTGTTACATAATATCAATATTTGATTTCGTGGCGACGCAGGGTATACCCTCACTAAAATAAAAATTTAAGAAAAGTAGGGAAAATACGGATTAGCCAATACAGTAAAACTCGGTTGTAGCGAAGTCATAGTGTCATCTGAATTTAATTCGCTATGGATTTGCATTCTGGATGTAAATTAAAGTTAATATAATAAGAGAATCTATTTTAATTTTTCATTGAACATTTTGCAATACGTATCGCAATACAGTTAGAAACATCGCAATATATCGCAATACGAAATATTTGGCCAATTCTCAGCCTTACTATCGGTGTAAATTTCGGTTATTATATATACTGTAAACCTCGACTTTACACACTTAAACGTAAGCATCAGAGTAGTACTCAGCTGAGTATTTCACTCCTTGAAGTTTAATGATATAAAGTAATTGACGTAAATTAGCCCGTTTCTTCAAGTATTAATAAAATCAATATACATATACTGAAAGGGAAAAGAAACGCAGGCAACATAATAGTCGTATTTTATGTTGATTTCTACTTGAACGAAAATTCGAAAAATTTTCTAGGAAGTTTTTTGGTCACTTTGCACCTAAGTCAAAAAATAACTCGATCATAAATGGCATGACGTTACAAAGGGAAAGTCATATAAACCAAAAGCGGGTGCAGATGGGCAATGACAGACCAGGTATACGAATTGTCAACAAATTATGCAATAGAAGTTGATGCTCTGAAGATATAATCATTGTTTTTCGCTATTCAAAGTCAATTTGAGTTGTTTTTTTTTTAAATACGATTGACGGAAGTTCAATATCTTTTACAATTACATTGCCTGAGAGCAAACAAGGGCAACAATAGTTTGGCGTAAAGTTTGTTGTGGATTCTTTACCATACATTTAAAACGTCTTATCATAATAAGAAAAGTTAGAGGGGAACGTAAGCGAGAAATGAAGCCATGTCGAGATGGGGCTATCCATCCTACCGCCTATCGTTTAAGCGACGACACTACCATCAAAATTGCTTTTATGTAACTATGCAATTACAATTTCAATTTCCACCCCAAAACCTGGAAGAAACCGAATTTTGTCTGCGAGCTTGACAACTTTATGGAGATGTTTTTCTCAAAAGCACACACTCAAAAGCGCTGCATTCGCCCTCTCTCCCTTCATATTTACTGTCACCCAATGTAGCCAAGATATATCTCGACTTTCTAGCAAATAAATCACATTAACTTACGCCCTCTCTCAAAAAGTTGTGATGAGTAAATTGAATGATTGATTGATCTTTAACGTCCCTCTCGAGAATTTTTCACTCATATGGAGAGAATTTTTCACCCATGATACATACGAAGACACCACCGCTTGCCGGTGGAAAGATATAAATTTTGTTCTATAGGGCCATTGAGCAGAGGGAAATTTAGAATGGAAAATCGACTAATAAAAACAGAGTTCATTTGTCTACCTTTTTCTCAAATATGGGCTTAATTTTTACGTCTATTGAATAAAAAGAATTAATTCTTGAGAAATAATGCATAATACTGTTCTGTTAATAAAGTCTAAAACAACGATGTTTAAAGAAATATTTTTTTCATATTCTTTTTATGACAAGAACCCCTAAAATAACTTACAACGTAACGTCGCAGTATGGAATTAGCATTCCAAGTTTCACAGGCTGTACAATATTTACTAACAAGGAAACATTTCATGTGTTTTTAACTGATTGATAAGGGAGTGCTTATTTATTATTTCGAAAAGTGTTAAAATCTTGTGACAAAGACTTTTCCGACATAGGTTCTACATTAAGAGGAAATTGAATACATGTGACGAGCTCGAGTGTTTTGGGTTTTTTTTCCGAGTTCCTTACTCGATAGAACTAACATATGCTTGAAGTAATTGGCCTCATTCGTACTCTAATTATAATTTATGAATCATCCCTTAAGTTCATACACAACGTAGTTTGAACTTTATTGGGTTCTCCCCAAGAGTTGAAGAGTTCCACTAAAGGAAGGACCCGTGTGCAGTATTTTTAATGTCTATATATTTGTACACCTCTTCTAAAACAATTTTTGATGAAAAAAATCTGGAGTTTAAGTTTTGTAATTTTTGTACATTTTACTTTGAATAATGCAAAAATTTTCAAAATTTGATATCTTTTCAATTCCCCTGGTAAGGCATGCTGATTTTTTGTCTAAAAACATGTAATGGTATTTTAAGTTTACATTTGGAATATCTTGAAAAATTATCAGTAGGTAAGGTGCATTGCATATATCCTTAACTCTTTACATCTTTCTTAACTGTTATGCAACGTACACTAAATGTTCACGTCATAGAAATAGAAATTTACCATTTCCCCGCAAGCACCTTTAAGCATGGAACACGTTTCTCTAAAGTTTAGTGTAAATAATATTATAACGCTCTATTTCAATACCAAAAAAACTTTTCTTCTTTAATGAGATTTTTGCAAGTATAAAATAGAAGGAAATTGGCATAAAATTAACGATTAAATGAACTTTTTAATGGAAATGCGTGACTGCGGGGAAACGGTATATGCGTGATTTTGCGTTAGAAATAGGAATTGGTATATGTGTTAAAATGTGTGACTGCGGGGAAGGGGGTTACTGTTGGAATTTCCGGTATTGTATTGCATTATTTTATTTTTTAGCAGATGTACAAAAAGAAAAAAAAGAACCAAAATTAAGTAATTCGTTTTCAACCTCAAAACCAAACCTTTTCAACTGAATGGAAGAATTTCGGAAAGAAAAATAGAATCTTCTATCGACCGGTCACACCCGCAGTTTGCTCTTTGTCACGATAGAGCAAATGAAAAAAAAATCGCAGATAATTCAGTGTAAAAATAATGGCCTAAAATTTATATTAAAACAGTCATTCAACATTCGATTTAGCGATAGATTGTATTTGTTGTATCGACCATAGGGTTTGCGAAATAATGACTTTAAATGAAACTGTTGACATCCGTGTTTCATCAATTTATTTTCCAGTAGCTTGCTTCTTTAAAGAAATTGTTCGTCCGTTGAGTACCCCCTTACATATCAGATCAGACTCTGTTGTATATTTTATTCCGAGATTAAACACTGAGAGAATTAACTAGTTGATTTAACTAGTGTGCCTAGTAAAGTGTTCGTCTTGATTAGTAATCACTCTGTTTACTAGCTAAGATAGTGAAAAGTGGAGTAGTGGTCGTAAAGATACTTAGATACCTAGTCCATTTAGTTTTGTTTTATTTTTCTCCATTTAGTTTTGTTCCAGCTTATTACTTGCACACTATATTTCATTTCATTATTATCCTCCAGTTACATGTAGCTAGAGATGTCAGTTCAAATGTTTTTTCATTGATTAGTAACAAATACCAAAAATGTGAACAGTATCCTGTTTACTATTTCATAAAAATCTTTAATATCTCAAATAATCACTTTAATATCATTATGATTACAATATTACTAATATGTGGATGTGTGGAAACAAACCCAGGTCCAGCAGATTATAAAAAACACATAAGTATTGTGCACAACAATGTATGCAGTTTACCCCCTAAACTTGATATTATTAGAAATGAATTTTCAGGAAATGATATAATTGCCATTACTGAAACTCACTTAGATCAGAGTATTGACAATAGTAATCTTTCACTTGATGGTTATTATCAACCAGTTAGAAAAGACAGAAATAGATATGGTGGAGGAGTTGCACTGTACATTTCAACTAGATTAAATTTTAAAGTTAGGAATGATTTAAATTTTTCTGATATTGAAATTCTATGGGCAGAGATCCAGTCACAAAATCAAAAGTTTTTGGTTGGAGTCATCTACAGACCTCCCAACTCTGGGTCTGATTTTTGGGATAAGTTTACAAGTACTGTAGAGAGAGCTCTAGATACAGAGATGAAATTGTTTTTGTTAGGCGATTTCAATGTAAACATGTTAGCTCCTGGGAATAATACATTTAAAAACCTACTACTACAACTTAATTTAAGTAATGTTGTCTTAGAACCTACCAATTTTACAACTGATATTGGAACTTGCATAGACCTAGTGTTAACTAATGATCCATCCAAAGTTAAGAGTGTTGTAGTCGATGAACCCATTTGTAGTTCTCATTCACCTGTCTCTATAGAAATCTCATTTCAAACATATAAGCAACATGCCTTCAAACGCACAATTAGAAATTATGATAATGCAAATTATCAAGGCCTAAACAATGACTTACAAAATGTTAATTGGGATGAAAAAGTGTTTACCTCTAATAATATGAATGACGTCTATGAAAATTTTACATGCACTTACCTAACCTTAGTAGATAAACATATACCAAAAAAGCAAATTACAATACGTCCATCAGATAAACCATATATTACCACAGAAATTCGTAGGAAAATGAGGCAAAGAAAAAGAATTCATAAAAAGGCAATGCATACTAAAAATCCATTACACTGGCAAAAATTCAGACAAGTCCGTAACGAAGTAATAGACTTAGTACGGAAAAGTAGGAAGGAGTACAAAATTAAACTTGTCTCTCAACTCATTGACAAATCTATTCCACCAGGAAAGTGGTGGCGTATAGCAAAATCCATTGCAAGGTTAAAGAAACAAAGTTCTTCCCCATCCTCTATCAAATCACAAGATGGTAGAATATTGATTCATCCAATTGATAAAGCTGAAGAATTTAATAATTTTTTCTCTAATATATCACATATTGAAAATGAGCCAGATTTGCCCGAACATGGAGCTGGACCTCCAGACTACTTCTGTGATTTTGAAATAAATGATCAAGATGTTCTTGATCAGTTAAGCATACTTGATCCCTCTAAACCATGTGGACCAGATGGAATTTCTCCCAGAATATTAAAGGAAACCCGTTATTCCATATATAAACCTCTATGTAGATTATTTAACCTTTCACTTACAAATAAAGTTCTTCCATACATATGGAAACAAGCACATATTTCACCTATTTTTAAAAATAAAGGCTGTCCCCAACAACCTAATAATTACAGACCAATATCATTGACTTGTTCTATATGTAAACTAATGGAAAAATACTTTTTAAATATATGTTTAATCATATTAAGGAACATGACTTATTGTGTAAATACCAATCTGGGTTCCAACCTGGGGATTCTACTGTTAACCAATTAGTTGAAATATATGATAAAATTATGTCAAACCTTGACAGAGGCAGAGATATACGCTTTATATTTTGTGAAATTTCCAAAGCTTTTGACAGGGTATGGCATAAGGGAATGATTTTCAAACTTAAAAACTTTGGATTTAGAAGTAATATACTGGGTTGGATTGAAGACTATCTTACTGAAAGACAACAAAGAGTGAATTTAGAAGGCTTTTCATCATCATGTAAAACAATAGATGCTGGGGTACCCCAGGGGTCTGTACTGGGTCCCTTCTTGTTTTTGTTATATATAAATGATATAGCTAAAGATATATCTTGTAATATTCGACTGTTTGCTGATGATACTTCTTTGTTTGCTATTATAGACAATGATATCAATACTCCAACAATGTCCCTTACTCAAGATCTTGAAAAGATAAGAAATTGGTCCAAAGCTTGGGCTGTAGATTTTAATAGTGAAAAAACTGTTAATGTTGATTTTACTAGAAAACAAATAAGTTATCCTAATATTCAGTTTGGATATGGAGGTGATTATATAAAACAATCAAATACTCATTTAGGATTACAATTTCAAGCAGATGGTTCTTGGAACAATCACATATTGAATATATATGAAAAGGCATGTAAAAGATTAAATATAATTAGGTTACTGAAACATAGTATTGATAGAAATTCACTAATAAAAATTTATTTTGCCTTTATAAGACCAATTTTAGAATATGCTGATGTTGTATGGGATAATTGTACCCAAAGTAGTTCAGAATTGCTCGAAAAAGTTCAGATAGAAGCTGCCAGAATTATTACTGGGCTTAGAGTTAATTCATCCAGAACTTGTTTGTATGGTGAACTAGGATGGGAACCATTATATCTTAGAAGAGAAAAACACAAACTTCAATTGATGTATAATATGATTAATGGTTCTGCACCTGATTATTTGTATGATTTGATTCAACCTTGTTTTCCTGTTCAACATGCTTACAACCTAAGGTCTGGATGTAATAACTTATGTATACCAGTTTGTAAAACAATGTCATACTATAATAGTTTTATTCCTTCAACTGTAAAACTTTGGAACAGTCTTAGTGAAGATGTAAAAAACTCTCCTTCATTAGCTATCTTTAAAGCAAAACTTAAGAATTGGGGAGCAACTAATAAACCTTGTAGGTACTTTAACTTTGGTAATAGAAAAGAAAATATCTTGCATTGTCAGTTGCGAAACAATACTAGTAATCTTAATGCACATTTAAAAAATCATTTTTTATCAGATATTCAATCATGTCAAAAGTGTGGATTTCATACTGAAGATACTGAACATTATTTTATCAACTGCCCATCGTATAATGTTGAAAGAAACATATTGGTAAAAAAATTAAATGATATTGATGTTGTTTTTGAACTCGACGCTCTACTAAGAGGAAAATCTCAATACTCTTATCAAACAAATTGTAAAATATTTTCATATGTACAAGAATTTATTAAATCTTCTAAAAGACTAAATTAGGGACACTGTTATATTAAATATTCTATTAAATGCATAATTTTTTTTCAAATATTTGTATTATTTTTAAGCTGGAACAGTATGTAAATAATATGCATACAGTTAGGGGGTTGTCATTTTTTTTTGAGATATAATATTGATAAATAATACTTGATTGTGAATCTTTATTTTTCATTATAATTTTATTGATTATCATGTTCATGTATTATTTCCTACTAATTTGTATCTTGACCAATTATACAAGGAGAGGGTGTACATAGGCATTGCCTGTTGCCCAATCCTGATTGAATTATACTCAATAAATATATTTAAAGTAAGTTATTTATAAATTCTTAGATTTACTAATGTTATCTAGTATATCTACCCAATACCTAGAAAACTACTTTTGAGGTAGTGATTGTATGGACAGTAAATTTACTAGTCTTCCCAGTGACTTTCACTAGTTATTTTTTCAGTGAAGGGATATATCGAATCAACATTGGAATGAAAATGAAAATTGTTAATTGATAAATAGTCGTTTGTATATTAATAGTGAATTAAAGGCAAAGCTAGAGACTTCTTTTCATTCAGAAATTTTTGAATAAGTTTTGCTCCATATGAAAACAAAAAATAGATCTGCTAATAACGGGGCGTAATTACATTTTTGTATTACATATGGAAATTCCGAGTGATTTTTGGAAGATTTGAGCTTTAAAAACTACAAAGATATTGTGATTCAGAAACTTAAGTATCGTTTTATATATTAACGTTGAATTAATTGACTGTACATATATGTACTTGTATGTACAATCAAAATGTTTGTAACAAAAGAATTTTGAAAATGTCCAATGACAAGGTGAGTAAATTATTTTGCAAATTCCATTTTTATTCTTAAAAAAAACTTACAGTGATGTCAAAAAACCGAATAGATCACTTTAGATATTGCAGAAACATAAAAGAAGACCAGCAAAATATATTTTTCTGAGTATATTTTCTGCAAAAGGTGGGGCATTGCAAAAAAAAAAAACATCCAGGTAAATGGTGACTCGATCGGAAAAGTCAAAAGTAAACTACATTGTAGTACCCGGTTATGTTAAAAATTGTCTGATTTGACACTAGGCACATTGTTGTAACAATAAGTACGGGTTATTGTATTCATAAAATAAATAAGTGTCTGGTATTTGCAACTTTAGATTATGTTGTAACCTAAAGGTATTGTATAGTAACTGATAGTAACTGAGAAGCAAGTTTAATTGTGCTAAAACTTAGGTAATTGGTGTTTCATAAGATTCCGGAATAGTTAAGTACTAGATGATGGTGTTCTAGAGGGTAGTATTTTGGGTCCTTAATCTATGGAATGATTAAAACAATAAAATGTTTTCGTTTGTTGTTAGTACGGGAAAGAATGTACGCGTACGTGGCTTATGTAATTACTCAAGCCCTAGAGGGTTTTTTTTTTGGATTTGAGTTATTTGAGTTATCTAAAACGATGCTAGGTCATCGATTTACTCAATTAAAATACACGAAAAGATATTATTTTTGTAAATAAAAATATTTCTAGAGACAAAAATGAAGCTTATCTTCAAAGAGTCTGTATATTTAAAGATATTAAGCGTTAAATGTCGGATTCTGTTCTATGGCGAATGAACAATGAGTGAAATTCCGCAGCCGCAACAGTTTCTATACAGAGATTTCGCGCTTTCCTTTGCGTAGGAATCTCAGGTAACTTTTACAGACGCCGACAAAGCATCATTGGACGAGTCCACTGTTTACTCTGAAAGGTGACGCAGGTTACCCCATCGTTAACAAATTCTACTAATGCGTGGCCAGAAAATGTATGGTTGTACCCATCATATTGAAATTGCTTCTCACGGACCTGAGAATGATGTGCATGTGTACTTTGATCTGAGTGACAGTAAAACAATAGCACAACATTAATGTTAAATTCTCCCTCGTACGTTTTTTCTTTTAATTTCACAAAATCGTACTAGTTATCTTCAGCTTTGGTAATGGAACCTATAAAACTTCTTTGGGTTCGTACGGAATATGTATTAGATATGCCGCACAGTCAGATGAACCCGTAGTCATGTGGATTTTTTGGAGAGAAAAAAAAACGTTTATATAGTTTGAAGTATATCAACATAAATAGTATTTCATTAAATTAAGAAACGGCCACTATATTCCTGAAAGTGAGTATTGTAAATTCATCTTATATAGCAGTACGATTAATTATATTTATTGTAATTAAATTCAATAAATGAATATGGTTTCATGTAAATGTATTTTTTTCAACCGAAGATTGAACTGAATAGCCCTCATCTTATACCATTATAGGATATAAATGACACTTCCTAGTTGACTTTCTACAGCTTGAGTATCTCTGACGTTTTGTCAGTATATACTTGTTTTTTTCTGCAATAGCTGCGACATTCATTCCCGTACTAACAACCAAAGAAGTATTTTATTGTTTATATTTATTTTTGTTTGAATAATCATTAAGTAGGATTAAAAAGTTTAATTATTGTATTTTTATTTTTAAAATGATACGTCCGTTTTTGTACGTTTAATTGATGGAACAGCCACTGATCAAGAAATCAATACAGGTGATATACCTAGTGTTGTTCATGCAATGATTAACGCCAAAGGGCTTTCTCAAGAAATAGAGGAGGAAAAAATTCAGTAGCTGTAAATATAAAGCAATGAGTGTAGACTCGAAATGCTATTTTGTATTGTGCTGGGCAACATAAGGGGTCGCTGTGGCATCACTTGGTCATAATTCACCTGCTTCATTGGTTTTAGGAAAACAATAAATACGTTCAATCAGGTTAACATTTATTCTGATTTTTTCTTTTTCATTTTATCAGAGATTCAGTTTAAATTTTAAAAAATATATAAACATATAACACGACCGTCCTTGTTTTAATTTTTTTTAAATCACATTGTATTCTCACAAATGTAACTTCCATCAAATACATAATTATATGTACGCACACAGTATGGCATGTCAAACGTTGCAATATTTGATAATCTTGTGATGTATATTCAAAATCTTGTGATGTATGTTCGAAATCTTGTGATGTATATTCAAAATCTTGTGATGTATGTTCGAAATCTTGTGATGTATATTCAAAATCTTGTGATGTATATTCAAAATCTTGTGATGTATGTTCGAAATCTTGTGATGTATATTCAAAATCTTGTGATGTATATTCAATATCTTGTGATGTATATTCTTAAACTTGTGATGTATATTCTATAATCTTGTGATGTATGTTCGAAATCTTGTGATGTATATTCGAAATCTTGTGATGTATGTTTGATAATCTTGTGATGTATATTCGAAATCTTGTGATGTATGTTCGATATCTTG